TCAAGAGAACAGTAATCTTAACAGCATGTTGCCCGGGTGTATTGAGTTAGTCAGTTGGAGTGTTTTAGAATTAATTTTTTTGAATCATAAGCAATATGAAAACACGAAAAGGAACTGAAATGATTTTTTGTTTTGTTTTGATCTGTACCTGTGCTAGTGCTGTCTTTTCCAGTCATTTTCCCCAAACATGCTACTGCTTTCAAGTCTTAGCCTGAAAATATTCTATTTGTCTCTGTACTATTTTTCAGCTTATTTTAAACTGATATCATCTCTGAGCAGAATTGGGTGCTGTATCAAAGTCAAGTATGTGAGGAACAAAATATTCTTGAGTAAAAAGCCTGTGCTACTGGCCCAGGGCTTCTAGCATCATTGGCCTCAGTCTGTAGCTAACAAGAGTAGATTGTACAATTAGTGTATGAATGATCATGACCCATTCAGGAGCCCATTTCACTTAGAGGCCAGACTCTTGTGTTGTATTCAAAGGAAAGGCTCATGAAAGGGACTGCTCTAGTTGATATTAAATTTTTAATAGTTTGGAAAGTAGTGTTGTGTGTTCCTTTCAAACAAGGAGCATTGTAAGAGGGCGATTATTGTATTACCTGCACCTGCATAGATTCACACACAAGAAAAAAAGGCTCATTTCTTTACATATCAAAAACTCTGAAACAAACATAACCTCTCAATGGCTTCTCTAAGCTCCCTATACAATGGGAACCACACATCAGATTCTTAGCAGTGCACATTAACAGACTATCTGCCATCCTCAGATTTGCAAAAGAGGAAGTGATCCTCAACTTTATTGGAAACGGGGGGCCTGACATGGAGCCCTTTGGCACCATCATTGAGCGATATTTCACTGCCCTGTCCTTGAGAACATCACAAAGATACTTTAGCTTTGTCATGGGAAGACTGAGTGGCATAAGAGATGCATCAAAGCATCCGGAGAGCCTGGGAAAACACACACAAGCACAGTGGGGGGAGCCTAAGCATCAGGTTTTTTAAAGGAAAAAATACCATAAAAAATTAGTAGTCATAGTGTCAATTTATAAAAAGTCATATTATAAACCATTCTTCATCGCACCTCCCCCCAACGTACACACATTCCCTATATGTTATGCTTAGCTCTGGCTCTGCCAGGAACTGAAATCATGCCATGGACAGGAATCTTTTCAGCCACTGGGGATACAGAGTTGGGATACCTCAGTCAGAAAATTAGGACTACTGTGTTACATTAGAAAGAAAGAAGATTGGAGGTCAGGAGATCTAGGCTGTAGGTCCAGATTTTTTAACTCCGTAGCTGTGTTTTCCTCATATGCAAAGAGATTGGAGTAGATAATTTCTAAGGTCTCTAATAGCCCTAGCTGTTATCAAGAAGTTCTCCATGTATGTTTGACCAAGGGAAAGAAGGTGATTGTCCTGACTGTCTAAGCAAAGGATCATAAGGAAAAGAATGTGGAGCCCTAGATATTGACACAGACAACACACTAAGTTGACCCACAAAAAAAAATGGGATATATATGACAGGTATATGTAGAAAAAGCAAGTCAAGTACCTGACAATGAGAGAGAGAGAGAGAGAGAGAGAGAGAGAGAGAGAGAATAATAGAAGTAGTATTACAGAGAGTTGCCCAATCTTAACATCTGCAGAAGATAGGAAAGAGGAAGGAAGAGTAAAGGACATAAAAATGTGAGGGTGTATATTTGTAATGGGACATTGCTTTTTAAGGTTTATGTTTGAATATCTTCCCCTTTCTCTGGGAAGACTAACTTCAGCAGTTAAACTGCTGAGTGTTTTAATCAAATAAAACACAGATATAAAAGACAAGGATGTATGCAGAGAACATCTAGATTACATGTACACAGCTCCTTGTTTTTCTTTGCAATATTTGAAAACTGTCTCCAAAGAGTTTGCAAAAATTCATAGAAATTTGAACTTAGAATATATCTTAGAGATTATCTAATCCAATTTTCTCATTTTTCAAAAGAGGGAAAGTATATTTAAACAACTTCAAACAATGCCTTCCTTTTCAAGCTGGCAAAATAATTGAAAACATATTGTTTTACCAAATGATTAAGTTTTTCCTTCTTGTCATACAATTTTATTATTTTAAAAATCCATTTAATTCAGTCTGTGTCTATTAAGCACCTACTCTGTACCAGGCATTTTTAGGGGCTGGGGATAAAAAGACAAAAATGAAATGGTTCCTGTACTCAAGGAGTACATAAGACTAAGCAGAAGCCTATGGTCACACATGCCATTTATCAAGAGGCCAACGCATATCTCTCTTTTTTTGAATAATATTTTATTTTTTTCCCAATTATATGTAAATACAATTTGTAACATTCATTTTTTTAAAAATATTGTGTTCCAAATTCTCTTCATTCCTCCCCAACCCTCGCCAAGATGGTAAACAATTTGTAGGTTATACATGTGCAGTCATATAAAACACATTTCCAAATTAGTCATGTTGCAAATCACATCTCTTGTTGGAGGTAGTCAGTGAACAAGCTCAGGGATGAGCTGCTTCATGGGTTGGCCGCTGAAAGCTCATCCCCAAGCATGTTCCATAGGCTCCAACTCTTCTGATACAATAATAACCTACCTATGATTGATAAAATTAAGGACCATATTTTAATAGTGATCATAAAACCAAATGATCATAATCTCCAAACTACATGGAATGCAAAGCTTTCAAAATACAGAGACCTAGCCCAAAAATTCAAAATCATGGTGGAACAGGACAAAATATATATGATCCTCACCATCCTGTTTGCTATTATAGTTGTCCTGAACATACTTTCAGTGAGCCACAGAAGATGAAATTGAATGGAAGAACATGTGTTCAGCACTTACTCTGTAGCAAGCACCATGCTAAGTACTGGGAATACATGAAGAAAAGCAAGACAGTCCCTGTTCTTAAAGAGCTCATATTTGAATTAGGGAAGGTAATACACAAAGGAAGGTTCAACTGTAGTGAGATTACAAAGTCTCATCAGTTGGATACTTAGGATTAATGAGCCTTCACTTGCCAGTGTTCAGAATGTGACCATCCTCTAGTAAGAGGTCAACCTGTAGGTTTGCTTCTTCTAAGAGCAGACCTGATTGAAATATCATGTAGGGAAGTCAGTTGAACTACTACAGCCACTCCCCAACATACAGTGATCCTGGGAAGAGGGAAAGTTAGAATTCACTACAAAGCTGGCATTCCTCCATGGGCATGATGCCACCAACACTGATGGTGAGGAATCCTCACAGAAAAGATAAACTTACATCACAATACTGTTCAATTATTTTTAAAAAGCGATCATTTTCATCAATTTGGGTAATTTCCACAGAACATTAAACATAAAAGAACAAAAGAAGGATAGTAACTTGACTTGGGACCATTTCTCTTTGAATTCCATTGAACAAATGAAAAGAATGAGCTGATAATAGCTAGTGAGAAGCAGTGTAGATAGAAGGCAGACATTGGAGTCAGGAAGACCTGTCCTTACATCCTGCTCCTGACACATATGTATGTGTGATCATGGGAAAGTCATTCAACCTCTCTGTGCCCAAAGTCACTCCGATCCAATGCAAAAACCACCTACTTTGTACAGGACACTGTGTTAGGAACTAAGAGCAGCAAAACAAATGTTCACTGTCCTAAAGGAGCTTATTTTCTACTGCGGGAACATACATTTGCAAACAGATGTCTACACCCTGTAACTTGAGAACCAAGAGAAAACTAACCACTAGTACAGTCAGGAAAAAGGCTTTCTTAGGTGGTACATGTGCTGATTCTTGATTGAAGTTAGGGATTGTTAAATGCTGGAACATCAGTTGGGAATACATTCCAGACATGAGGGACAGCCTGTACAACGGCAGGAAGTCAGGAAATGGAATGATATCCTAGGACTTATTTGCTGAGTCAGAGATGACTTGCAATTTGCATTAGTGGACAGCACTCCCATACTAGGAGACCCATATACTAACAAAATCACAGGTGTTTTGCTGTGTGGTCTTTTAAAAATGTTAGATGCTTAAGCAGCAATCTTACACAATGAGGCTCAGTTTTAAGTAGCCAATAAACTTTTTAAATTCCTCCTGCCCTGCTTGGCCCCCATCCAAATGATAGCACCCATTTAGTTGAAAGTTAGGGCTTAGCATGTAGGGGTCTGAGCTTCTGCTATATGCAACTGTATCTTCTTAAATGATTTTTCTTTCTAGGCCGCAGTTTTCATAGGTCCAGTAGTTGGCTTCTAGCAAATATCCAAGTCCTAACAGTACTATAGTTAAAGAGGAACCTAAATTAAGTGACATGAAGCTGTAATATCGGTAGCACTTTTTTACAATTACTTTTACAACTGATCATTACAGTGGGATTTTTTGCCATTCTCATATCCCTTACACCATGTTGCCACCTTGATATTTTGTCAAATAAAAAAGATTATATTCTATGTAGATCAATTTCAAACTAAAGTCCTTCCCCTAAGCTATTGTGGAAGATTACATGTGACTTTAATTCTTACTGCGCTGATAGATGATGGTATTGGTTTTTTTGTTAATTCTCGTGTTCTAACCTCCCGGAGTGAACCATAAAATTTAACACATTCTACCCTGGGCCTTAAATGGCTGGAACAGTTTATAAGCAAAATATTAAATTATTTTTGAAAAGTAGCTTAATAAATTCATTTTCCCAAGTTGATGGAAATCTCAAAGCTGATTTACAGAAACCATCACACATCGGTGAAGGCTGACAGCATTTATCTTTAGTACTGGATGGCTTTCATGTTGTATCAGGGTTTGTGCGTTTGAAAAATAGAGGCAGCTCTGCTATCAGGTGAGACAAGTTTGAACATAGAGCTGCCTGTCTGTAAAATCCTGAAATTGTGCATAACTATAGATAATGTTAATGTGTCTTCACCAGATATCTGAAATGATACATTTTCTAAATTGGATGCATTAAGCGATTACTAAGATCAATGTTGAAACCCTGTAATTTTCTTTCTTCCTTGTAGGCTCAGCGCCGTGTCACATTCCACCTTCCAGAAAGCTCTCAGGAGAGTGGCAATGACAACGTACCTATCGAGACAGAAGCCGGTGCCACTGCTATTGCCGTGCCTGGCTATGCCCGGAGAGACTATTTAACTACCCACAGCAACCGTACTGAAGCAGATGGCAACTCTGACCCCGAAACTGGTAAGTGACTCTATGTTCCCAGGATACATGATTTCGCCATATGAATGTGAAAATGTAGAGAATTATAGTCACTGGAAGTTCACCATCTGAATGGGAGAGAGACGCAGGTAAAAAGTGAAAATATAATGCCAGTTATATTGGTAATCTGATGATAATGATAATTCTGATGAATGATAATCATGGATCTTTCAAAATATCACTGTGGCAAAAATCCCTTCGGTACATCCATTAAGCAAACAAATACGGCATCCAAACCATTGATATCAGTGCAGATTTGCCTAGATGAATGCCTATTCCTCATGGTTCCATGGAACGTTGGCAACTTTGTCCCCGGACACTGCATTTAGAGGACCATGGCAGCAGTTGTATAGAATCAACAGAGCTTAATATGTGTTAATAAGGATAATTAGTTAAAATATGAAGCTACCAGATAGCAGCCTGGGGTAAGCACTGACCCATCTGTGTGAACTCAACCTTTGTGCAATAGCCCCTCACCTGAGGGTGTTTTTATGACCTACCCTCATCCTGGGCTTAGTTTGTATGTGGTACTTGTCCCAGGACAAGTTTTAGGGTTTTTTTAATTAATTTTATGAGACTAACCTATTACCAGTGGTATATATTTGAGGATTATAATTTGAAAATACTTCAAAGGACCACGTGATGACAATTGACACATTGTATTTGCACATACTAGAAATGTAGGATGCAGATTTTTATTTCAAAGTAAAATGATAGTGTCTGCTTGAACTTATTTATATTTAAATTATATTTGCATGGACAGTAGAACTTAGAGTAAATTGTAGTAAGATTATTAAATGGTATTTTAGAAATATTTTAAAATTCTTGCACCAATTGACACACCTCAGTCCTTCATATCCCAGCCAGTATTTTGCAGTCATCCTTCTTCTGGATGACTATTTATTTTACAGTGATGATGAGACATATAATCAAGTGCCATAAAACAATTCCCTTTTTGGTGCCTTGGAGATTATTTATAACCATCTATAAATGCACATTGTGCTCTATCTTGTTGCTTAAAAATATGCTCAGATTTGGTCTATACGTAGGCTGGTGTGAAGGCTAACATCTCCTATTGAAGGAATGGGAAAGGAAGGAATAGAAAAGAAATGTGTTTGAACGTCAGCCCTCTGAACCAATGTCATATCTGACCTGATTTCTATTTTCTCATAGTGCTGCCTTCATTTGCATTATTGTGGTTGTTTTGCATATTCCTTTTTTTGTTCTGCATCAGTTCATATAGATTTTCTAATGCTTCTCTGATTTTTTTTGCATGTTGAGCATTTCTAATGGCATAGTGATATTCTGTTATATCCATATACCATAATTTTTCGGTGATTCCCCAATCTTTGGGCATATAATTTGTCTCCAGCTTTCTACTGTTACAAATAGTGCTCTTATCAATAGTTCAGCATATATGGAACTTTTCTGTCCATCTTGACTTTCAGTTAGTAGTAGGATCACTGGGGTTAAAAGGTGTGAACATTTTCATAACCTTAAAAGATGAGCAAGAGATGCCTAATAAAATTTCAGGGGAGAAATATACATACCAAGTACTTGTGGCTCAACATAACATTTTGAGAGATGCAGAGCTGGCAAAGTATGTAGAGTTTTTTGAATTTCTGAAGCTACATTTTCCCCAAAATATATTTTTTACCTTCATAATTGATGTCTGTTTATAGGCCAGTAGTGACAGTGCCTTATTCTTCCACTAGTGTGGCTGTCAGATATTCCTTGAGCACCATTAGTAAACATGGTGCCATCCCAATAACACAGAACCTGCTGAAGGCAGGCACACACAAGTTATCGCTATGCTGGGCATCCTTCACAAATGTTGAAAGCAGAGGATTGAAATGAGTAGGAGTGCCATGCATGAACAACTAAATCAGGCACCTATGTTTGAAATCAAAACAGTCCCTCCACCGTCTCCTCTGCATACCCTGTTTTTGAAACCTAACAAAATCAAGACAGATTGCATAAACGTCACAGAGAACTACCTGACATCTGTATATCATCACAGCTTTGTACTTGCAGAGATACTAAATGGTTATTAAATGCTCTTAGTGTGTGAAGTTCAGAAAATCCCTATTATCTGTAACCATTTATGCTTGATACCCAGATAGTTAACATCTGGTGTGAAAATTATAGTTTTCTCCAGTAGGCATCAATAAGGAAACTTTCTCAGCTTAGCTATCAAACAGTCCAATGAGGCGTTGTGCTGTAGCCGAATCCAGTTGCTTTTAGATCTGATATGGTCTCAGCATGAGTTGGCTGCCAGTTTATTATTTCAGGTAACGAAGAGTTGATTATCTTTGTTATTTTGTATTGTGCAATCTATTGGCCTCATTTTTATCTTCTCTGCCATCATCCTATCAAGCAACCAACAGTCTTATAATCAAAGAGGTATCTTTCTTTAGCACCATATAAAATAGATCCATCTTCTATGTATGATCATCCTCAGCTATCTTTATCAGACAGTGATAGCAGTGTTGAGATACGGCCTAAGCTACAAAGTAGAATTCCCAAGGAGAGAGCTAATCCAACAGAAAGCAAGAGCTGATTTCACCTACGATGGCCTCTCCAATGAAATAGGGCCAGTGTGAAAGACAGTGACATGGTCAGATCTCCTAATTAGGATTCAGTGCAAGGGAGCAAGGAACATTGGAATGATTGAAAAATCTGAATTATAAAATGTTTTGAAAGAAAGTCAATTTGGATTACCCTCTGTGTGTGCAATAATCAGTGATTTAACTTAAGTATTGGCCCTCCCTTTGAGGCTGTACTTTAATGAGCATAGTAGAATAATTTTAATTAATGTAATACTTGTATGTTAAGAATAAATGTATGTGTGTGTAAAGTGCTTTGTTGAATAAGCTTTTTCCACACCAATCACAATGGAATTTGTTTCTCAGGAAACTTTTTTTTTCCCAGTAGAAAATATAAAAGTTAATATTAATCCTAATTGAAGGCAAATTGCAAATTAGAAGGTTCTTTATGAATGATATTCTACTATATAAGCCATCTGGTTCCATAAAATAATTATAAGGATGAAATGATATCATTATTACCAGTTGGCATTTTACTAAACTTAACAAAAGAAAAAAGTATCCAAAGAGAGTGGATAGGTTTGCGGGAGCTATGATAGTTACTTTTCAATTTCATTGTCTAAAGTGCTTATAAAAGATTGAGGACAAATGATTGGAATAACTTTTTTTAGATAAAAACTAAAAATATGCCACTTTTTGCTTGCTACATTGGAAGTTCACGATGAACACTGTATAAAGTATAATTGGACCTTGGCCAAGGGAACCTTTTATTGCAAGCACAGGATGACCCCATTTCATTTCTGATGAGCTCTAGTCACATGCATCAAAAGGATGACTTTTTTGGATGTTGCTGACTGTTTAACAATAGAAAATAATCATTAACGAGATTGTCCCAGATTAAATCTCCTTTTGCTAGGAATGAGGACTGAGGTCCTTTTGGTCTGAAAGAAACCTCTCCGGGAGCAGATGCCAGCAAGCTGTGCAGTGGTAGTCAATTGCACCACAAATGGGAATGTAAACTGTTAGAGGCAGTTACTGTTGTCCTTGAGCAATCGAGCTAGATTATGCAGTTCCATTTTCATGTTTTGAAATGTATCACATCTTCAATCTGGGTTTTTTTTTTCTGCTAATGAATTGCCTGTAATAGTACATTGTACTGAAAATTGCCTTCTTGTAAGCTCACAGACTGAGGTGTCAATACAACTTTTTATGAATAAGATTTTTTTCAAATTGCCAGAGGGATTTAGAAATATGACTTTTAAAACGTAAGAACCTGGTTTGTTAAAACCTATCCTAACTAGATAAAAGAATTTCTGTGATCTGTACTCCAGTGTACTTTGCCAAAGATATTCAGCTTCCTCTAATGTAAAATGAAACTAATGAATTCCTGTCTCATAATCTCTCTACAGGAGACATCAGCTCTTTCACTCCCTTTACATTTGGATAAACATAAATAGTACAGCTGTAGGACACACTCTGAATACCATGAGCTGGTCTTTCTGGATGCTTAGATACTTTGCACATTAGCCAACTGGATGAGTCTAGCTTCTGTTATTAAGATAGGCATAGACAGTTATTTAGAGATATGTGATCAGGGCTGGCCCTAGATACAGTTGCAAAGCAGGGTAAATTTGTATTTAACCTCCCCCCAACTTTTCCTCTAATAACCAAAGCCCTCCTCTTGCCCCATATCTCTCCAGAGTTCTACATGTTTGAGTCCCACCCCCCCCTTTACCCTGGCCATGTCTAGACCTTCCCTCCTGCTACATAGCTGCTATTGAAATATGTCTAGCTGTGTCCAATCTATGCTCTCTCGGTCCTATTCTAGAACACTAGCTGCCTGATAAATTAATTCTTGCTAAAGCCCTATTAGTGGGTGCCCATGAGTTAGTGTGTTACCTCACTTAGGTGAAACATTAGAAATTTAAAGAGACTCTATCATTTAGAAGTTCAGATATGATGGAGATTTGTTAGGGCGGCAAGGGCCTTTTAGTAACATTCAGATCAAACCAGATCTGAGTTTTATAGAAGGAATCAGAAAGAGCAGAGAAGGCAGCATTATGGGTTGGATGGAGAACCAGACAGGATGACCTGGATTCCAATCCTACTTCTGATGCATATCTTGAGACCCTAGGCAAGTCACTTCACTTCTCAGTGTCCCCAGGCAAATCAGTGAGTTACAGAGAAGATGCTAGTTTGCATTGGTAGAGTTTTCTTATTCAGGAGTTCCCTATACTAAGGAAATCACACAATTATAGTGTATTACAATTCACATTTGATGTTTTTATTTAAAGATCAATTTAGAAAGATATTTTTTCCAGGTTCACCTCTAGAAGGTTATTCCCTCCTTGTAACGCAGAGAGTTTACACATTATTGGGTATCTGAGCCACCAGTGTTCTGAGATTCGTGTATCAGATGCATATATACATAGAGGT